CCTAACCCTAACCCTAACCCTAACCCTAACCCTAACCCTAACCTAACCCTAACCCTAACCCTAACCCTAACCCTAACCCTAACCCTAACCCTAACCCTAACCCTAACCCTAACCCTAGATATTTGTTTTGAATTTATTCTAATATTGAAATATATTGATTCTATTTATTTAAATAAATAAATAGATATCTATCTAAATAAATATATTTTGTATTCTTGTTCCAAAAAATTATAACACCCATCATTATTAACATATTATTAATATATTATTAATACATTATCAACACATCATCAATACATCATTAACATATCATTAATATATCTTTAAAATATCAAACAATACATTTTATTAATCAAAAACCTATCATATTATTTATAAATATCTACCTAGCTTTCTTATTATTCAGTTTTTTTTATTTAAATAAATTTATTTAAATTAATTATTTTAAAGATATTATCATAAATACTTATTTTCAATTATATACAATACCTCCAATTTCAACTCATACATATTACCTTATATTACATACAATCAACTTACATTACAATATTATATAAACAAATATTTCAATAACTTCAAACAATAAAGATCATTTGATTTATTATAATTAAATCAAAAAAATTAATATTGGAAATTTGAATCCATAAATCTTAACTCACCTTATTACCAATCATATAATAAGATTAACGATTAAAGGATTATATTATATTTATACTAAAATTAATAGATAGTATACATCTGCCTATTAAAGTAATATTAATTCAATATAATAGACTTTATTAATACATATTATAAATAAAGGAATAATATATAATAATATAAATAAAGATAATAACAAGCTTAATATTAATAAATATAAAGATAAATAAAAATGAATTATTTACCTATTTACCTATCTATCTATCTATCTATCTATCTACCTAGATAGATAGATATCTATCTAGATATAAAATATAAATAAATAAATAATATAAAAGAAATTGATTGAGTAACGAATATTTTATTTTTTAGATATGAATTTGATATAATTATAATATAACATAATTAAAAAATAAATTTGGTTTCATAATGAATATTTTATATTCCAAATATGAATTTGATATAATTATAATATAATATAATAAAAAAATAAATTCGGTTTTATACCTAATATTTTATATTCTAGATAATAATCTTATCCATTTATTATTAAATATAGATTTAAATATAGAGTTAATTAAGCGATAAATGTTTTGTAATATGAATACAGGAATTGATTTGAATATAAGAAGTTATAGAATTATTATATATATTGGATTATCTAATAATCCAATATTGAAACAAATTAGTTTAATAATACTCTGATTACGATACTACTTTTCACAATAAAGTAGTTGAATATATATTTTCCAGTATAATTTAATACTACTAAAATTATCAGTTAATATTCTTAAAACAATCGTTGCTTAATTAATAATTTTATTATTCAATATACATCCGTTTATTATCGGTCCTAAATATACCCTATTTCCTATACGATATACAAAGAGGATACTGAAATCGAAGTCTACTGTATTGAGAGAAACTCTATAGACTTGCTAAGAAAAAATTTATGATTCCAAAATTACAGATTTGTCTCGTTACAGGGTGCGTCTCGCTACGCAGGGACGGACGTTAAATTTGTTAATAAATAAAGAAAGTACACGGTTACACACAGACGAATTTTGTATACAAAATGGAGTGATCTACTCGGTGATATGATCCACTCGTATATGAATCACGCGAGACGTAACAAGCTTCAATAATCCGAGCTTGAATTGCGGGGTAGGAGATCACCTCCTGTAAACAGCTTCCTTGCCTTCTCTTTTTCCTTCTCCGTCTTTCAGCTTTTATGCTCCATGCACTAACTTCCATTCAAACTCCTTAACAATTCGTCGTCGATATATATCATCTAGACTGCTTCAAAAATCTGCGTTGTAGGAGGCTGGGTATAATAATGGATGTGTTTAAAGTAATCGTTGATTGCCTCTTCTGTTCGAATAACTATCACGAAAATGCGACATCTTTTGCCATATCTGACAATCAACGGCATCTACTCAGTACCAATACATCAGAGATACAGACTGCCGAAGCCCTCCTCTCAGCATTGCTTACTTCCGAGAAGTTAGGCAACGATCTTGAGACTCGTCTTAAAAATATCGTCAATGACAGCGGGCTGGTACATACCAACGGTCTCTGGTACGAAGGACTCGCCAGGATCCTGCTCAAACGATTCGAATCTTTGATCAAGGAAGGGCAAAGTGCTAATCTTACTGGCGCCGTTAAGGAGTCATTCGACAAAGCTAAGGATACCGTTGAAGAGTTTATTCACAACCATCCTGTTCTCACGTCTGTTGCTCTTACACTCCTTGTGCTTGGTCTACTCATGTATGCTGCGCCTTGGGCGGTTCAGGCGCTTGGATTTACTTTAGATGGACCCCTTGAAGGTGTGTTATATACATTGATCGCTTGCTAGATTATATTCTGACACTTTCTCACCGCAGGCTCTTTTGCCGCTGGGTGGCAATCTGCAATTGGCAATGTCGAGGCGAGGAGTTGGTTCGCCTTTTGGCAAAGACTGGGTATGACATGGGGGAAGTAATGAGATATTATAGTACTATATCATATGGAAGTGTTTATTAGGATGTGGTGGTATACACTAGACTTCAGGCAGGAGGCCGACCGTGTTATAACCAATAAAACAATGGTGTTATGATTGTAACTATATAATGGAAATATCCCTGTATAGCTAGACCTTCCCGGGTCTCCTGAGGACCCTGTTGTTTTATCCACGTGACTATGTTCCTTCTCTTATACTTCATTTTGCTCTACAGTAATTTTATAATGTTCTTACCGAACAGCGGTAATCGTAATTGAATCTTCAAATTGTGTAATATTTCTTTGCTATGATTGTATCGATTCTGTCATAGAATCTTCTACATATGTGTTGACTAAAACTTTTAGGTCTATGTTTTCTCATTCGCCAACAGAAAAGTCATCGTACCGATAAGGTCATCATGTATCCCCCCAATTGATAAGGATCCAAGTTCCGCCAGAGTCATCATCAAGGGAAATTGCTGATCTTTTTGTTTTGATGACTTTTTGTCCCTAGCAAGCAGTAATATTTGCAATTATGATATTTCTTTCACCACTCCATGGATGTAGGCTTGCGGCTTTATAACAACGTCTGATTTGTGGAAGTCTCCGTTTATAGCACGCAATAGAGTTCCTTCACCACAGCTCCACCATCTAGCACCTTACTGTATCACCCCCGATACTTTAAAAGGGTCTTGCCCGAGCTTTAGGGCCTTACTACCATACTAGCAATCGCCATCAGCCTTGTAGCTGCTGTGGCACACAAATTCATGTAAAGTCGCCACGCGGGTTAATTTCTGATTTTGGAGCCTTAGGCACGATAGCCAAAGTTGACCTGCATTCAACTTAGTAATAGCCTTTAAGCAAGTAAGTTAATTGGTTCATACACGAATACCATAACCTTGCAGATATACGAAAGTGCTTCCGATGTAATCGCGATCTTATCGATTACTAAGGGCTGGTGGCTCGCTCAAGTGCGGGGTAACGCATTGATCTCTTAGGAACGTGCACGTCGATATCGCTTCCATTTCATTTACAATCTCATCGTTCTTATAAAGATAAATGTTCAAGGAACTCTTTTGATATATTACAACATTCTCGATTGATTTATCCTGCCATTTCTCGGCAGAATGATTTTACACTCAGGGAAGATTATCAAGCCGTCGATTATGCCACCAGTGGGTGCACGGACTCACGGGACACTCTATATAACTTCAAAAACGGAAAATGAGCATATATTATAATTAAAAAGCTAATAACTATTACAATTTCGATTATATATATTCTTTATTAATATTAATAATAATTCTATATTTATTAAATAATTTAATATATTTTTTTTGAATTTCCTTTTATATAATCTTATTCTATTTGTTTTGTATAATCTCCTTTAATTTGTTTAATATTTTCTATTATCTTTTTCGAATTTATTGTTTTAATATATTCCAAATACCTTCTATTAGATTCAAATCAAATGAATTAAAAGGATAAAGTAGATTTTCGATTTTGTATATATCTTTAAACTTTTATACAAACTTATATTTAAAGAATCTATACGAATTGTTACCATCCTCCATTAAAAGCTATTTATGTATAAAATCTTTAGGATTTTTTACTCATAGTATCTCAATCACTTTTATATAAATTAAAAGAAATCTTTTAATATAGTATTTCTATATTATAGCATTTCTCTAAAGCTTAATATCCTTAAAATATGATTGTTTCCCCTTCTATTTCTTGAATTGTTTTTTATATTTTGTAAAACTTTCAATCTTGAATTGTCTTTTAGGTTTAGTAATATATTTAGGTTTATTTATATACTCCTCCTTGTCTTTATAGAATTCAAGCTTTTCAATTTTTTTGTTAAAGATAATCTACATTCTATAATAGATTTTATTATTAGTCAATAAAGAGATTTCTAATATATTTTCTAATTTATATTGTATTTCAGTTTTTTATAGAATCTCTCTCTTTTTCATAGAAATAGGATTTATGTACATTTTATTTATATATATAATATATTTCTAAAATCCTTTAATAATATTATATTTATATATATTATTAAAAATAATACATTTTTTATAGTTTTGATTACTAAATTGCTTTTCTGAATAAATAGCTTTATAGTATTAACCTTAATTTATAAATCTTTTCAAATTCTTTTATAAAGAACAATATTTAATCTTTAATTAAAAGTAATTAATTATCACTTTATAAAACTTGGTTTGTAGTTTATTTTAAAAAAGCAAAATAAGCATTTTGCAAGTGTCCTTATTAATTAATATAAATCCCCCTAGCTTATTTAAAAGCTTACAAATCTGTTTATAAGTTTTTCTTTTTAATAAATCTTTTTTTTGAAACTATTAATGATTTATAGATTTTGGTATACCCAACCAAATTGAAATGAAATATACACTTTCTTTTGTATAACATTAATCGAATTTATTAAAAAATTGGGTTTTTTTTGGTAAATCATATTCTCCATATAATTCTCTATTAATAGGAATAACCTTATATTTAATTGATTTTGTATTGAATAGTATTTCGAAATTGAATTAATTATTTATATTTTGAATGATTTATTTTGAGGGTATTTTCAAAAAACGTATGTTCTGTGAGTCCGTGCACCCACTGGTGTGCCTGCTACGGTGACCGTGAAATTATTTAGTTGCCTCCGTTGCAGCCTTCAGTTCCCCAAGAAAGAGCTAGCCCTCAAACATGAACGGAAGAAGCATCCAAAGTGCAAGCAATGTAAAGAAAGATATCTTGGTCTGGCTGAACTGCAAAACCATCAACAAATTACAAAACATTGCTATTGTCGCGAGTGTGATATTTACTTCCCGAATCTTGAAAAGCGCCTCACGCATACACGAAGTACCACGCATACGACTCCATACCACTGCTGTGATTGCGGTCGAGATTACACCAACCAGGAAACCTTGAGTTACCATTGCTGCGATTGCGATGAAGTGCTTCGAGATCATAAGTTCCTGCGAAGACATCTCTCCGGGAAGAAGCATATTCGTAAAGTCGGAGTTCTGAAGTCGAAGAGCTCTCACAATGACCCACACAATTGTAACAAGTGCGATGAGACATTCCAAGACAAGAAACAATTAAGAAAGCATATGTCAAGCCATCGTGATATTCCTTGCCCAACTGGTGGGAAATGCAACAAGATGTTCGCGATGCCATCTGCCCTCCTGAACCATCTTGAGAGCGGCTGCTGTCGCTCGGGAATGACTCGAGCCAAGATGCACCTACTCGTTTCCGCCCACGATCCTAATCGCTATATTACATCGGTTGAGGCCGTCAAATCGATTCACTCTTCTGAACATATATCTACTAAGTACTACTTCCTTTAATCCCAAAGTATTCAATTAAAGCTAATAATCAAAATCAAATTTCATACCTTTTGAAATTAATCGAATTTTTTTCGAAATTTCATCTAAAGATCAATTTATATTATTTCCTTTAGTTACTGATAATGATAATAGTTTTAATAAGTAGTTTACTATTAGCTATAGACTATTAATATCTACTACTAACAATAGCGACTAATCAATTATCGATAAGACTATATTAACTTCTATATATAATAATAATACTAGTGAATAATCATTTTTAAGTGAAGATTATAATTTGTTAATTATATTTCTATTTGATACAAATCGTAATATTAGTTTATATATAAGAATTATATCTCAAAAACAATATTATAAACTTTATAGACTTAATCGAAAACTATTCTATAGTATAAGTATTATTTTTGTATAAAAATAATATGATAATATATCTTTATATAAGTTCTATATTCATATAGTATACTAGGAGCGAATCACAGGATCACCTGACCCAATCACATGATCATATCACGTGATCGTCGCTTAAGGCCCTTAGCCTAGAACGGCCGGAAAATTGATTCTTTATTAGCTCTTTCAATTTATATATACTTAGATTAATATAATTATAGTAAAATCGAATAATGAATAAGAAAGAAGAGCTTTATTGAATAGAATAGCCGAAAAAGAAAGAGATCTATAAAGGTGGAAAGCTAGATTAATAGAAAAAAGTATAAAATAAGGCCTTTTCCCCTCGAATATAGAAAAAGAAAAAAGAAATATTATATACTATTTTATGAAAATCACGTGTTTCATAAGCTATTTAGTTATTAATACGAGTCAGCTTTCTATAATAGACTAATACTAGTCTAATCCCTCTTATATACTATATATATCATATACTTATATACTAGCTTATGACCTACAATAACTAAAAACTAATATTTAAATCAAAATGCTTAAATAAAAGTTTCTTTTTAAATATAATTTAGAATATAAGATTTTTTGATTTAACAAAACTAATAGAAGGTGATTTTATAACCCTACTATATATATTTTCGAGAAATAGATATTTATATTATATTCAAATACTTATAGATTCCGAAGCGAATAGTTATACTTTTATCAATAAAATATTCCTTTTATTATTATTTTCTATATTTAAATTCTATTTTATATTATTCGAATTATTAATTAAGATCAAAAGCTATAATAATATAAAAAGCAAAGTTATTATTCATTTAATTTTTTTTAATTTTATAATTGATACTTAATAATAGTTCTATCTACTATTTTTTATTATCAATTTGGATTTATATAATATAATTTTAAATTATAAATGGTTAATAAAAATCTAAATTAAAATTGATTATTTCAAATAATATCTTAAATAGCTTTTTAAGTATCCTTTTATTATTTCTTTATTAAAAAATATATTTTTAATTAAAAATAGTTTATAATAATCTAAAATCAATTATTTAAAGCAGAAAAATACTAATAATCAAAACACCTGATTAGAAAAGATATACTATTATATTAATAATGAATAGTAGAAAATAGTATTGATTATATTTATGATATTTATTATATGTTTTTAGAAGTCTAATATAATAATTTCTGGTGTAGTCGAATTCCTAATTCTAATTAATCTAAGGAAAAAATCTGTTTTTAATTAAATTTATATTCAATTTATTTATAAATCTTTTTTACTATATATTTCCGATACATGTAATATATATATATACTTAAGTTGTTACAGGGTATATATATAGTAGTAAGCTATCAGGACTTCGATCCCTGATACTGTGCCTTTTGGGACAGATTGTATGCGTGGTGTAGTAGTAAAGCTTACAACTCCTATTGTGTTTCCGCTCACGTAACAAAATACTTATAGTTGTTTTGAATGATTTTATTCAATTAATATCTCTGTTGAGAATTATATTAAGATTGAAATTTGTATTTGTATGAGAGTATTTTTTCTTTAAATATATTTAATAAATAAAAAGAGTAATTAAAGGAATATATCTTAATTCTATTATATTCAAATCCCTATAAATATATAAAAAATATATAATATATTATTATAGCTCTTTTATAGTAAAAGAATTAATATATATATTATTATTATTAAACTATTTTTGTATTAATTTAATCGAATTTGTGGATAATAATTAAGGAATAGATTATCTTTTAATAAAATATATGTAATCAGATAAAATAAAATGTTTTGATTTGATTTAAAAGGAAAACATAAGAAACTAATTTTTGAAAAAAGATTTCAATTTGAGATAAAAAGCTAAAGATTTATATTAAAAATTTATAGATTTAAGTATATCAATAGGAATATTAAATTTATATATTTATATAATATTTTTTAAAGAATATAGTATTCTAGTTTTTATATATATAAAAAATTCGGGTAGTTAAAAGATAATCTTTTTTTATAATTTAAAATTATACTTGAAATTTAAAAGTTTAAAAAACTAAATAAAGTTATAAATTTTATAAAATCAAATTCAATTTTAGAGATTTCTTTAATAATTTCGATATTGTTATAGTTGGATAAGGAAATCTTTTTTTTAGAATATATTATATTTATATTAAAATACTTTGATTTTAGTAATTCATTTTTTATAGAAATCTCAGCTTTTTATTTAACAATCTATTATTTAAAATCTATTAGATAAAAAATTAATTAATAAAAAAGTAATTATACTAATTATAAAATTTGAATAAGAATATAAGATTCTAAAAGATTTTTATTATTAATAGAAATAGCATAATTGAAAATATTAATATAGCCTTTAATAATATAAAGCTATAATAAACTAAAAAGAAAGTTCTTTTTATCCTTATTAGAATAATTCTTATTATTAGATTGAATAAAAATATATATAATATATTGAATACCTTTGATTATAAAACTAAAAATAATATATTATTTAAATCCGGTATTCCTGCTATTAGCTATTCCCATGAAAATAATATTTTTTGAAATAATCTGATATTATAGTAGATCTAAATAATCAATAAATACTAAAAAAATTATATTATCATCAGATTCTTAATCGATAATATAATAAGATCTGTTTAAAATGATTTTAGTAATATATCCCTTTTTTAGAATTAAAACGATTTCCTAAATTTGAAAAGCTCTATCCTAATCAGAAATCTTAATAATAATAAACAAAACAGGAATCTTAATTACCTACAAATTAAGAAACTTAATAAGATTGATTTGTATAGTTTGAAACTTTAGTATATAATTTTTATTGTTTAATAGATATTAAAAATATTACTTTATTTGATTTTGATTTAAAATAATATTCGTAATACAAGTATAATAAACTTTAATTAAATTATTATCGGATTTAGATTATATCATAATATACAAAATAAATTCATTTACAGTTTTAATAATAGATTATATATCCTTTTTCTTCTTTTTAATAACATTTTTTCAAATTATAAGATATTATAGATTTTTAAATATATCAAATAAGATTTAACAAAAAATCAATATATTAATTCTAAAGATTTCCAATTTAAAAATAGAAAACAAGCTTTTATAATCAATAAAGATTTCTTCTATTCTTATTATAATATTAAATAAAGATTTAGAAAACTTAGTAAATCTTTTTATTGAAACTGAATAGAATATAGATTTTAAAGTATATTTCTTATATTTGCATACTATAAAAAAGCTTGAAAAAACTCAAATTGATTAAAATTGAAATGTAAAATTACAAAATAAAACTTAAAATAGATTTTTTAGAATTGATTCGAGTTTTTTTCGAAAATAAAAAGCAAAGATATTAGAATATCTATTATAAAAAGTGTTTTTTATATAAAGTATAATATATTGATTTCTAATAATATTAAATATATTATTAGGTTTAAATCTTTTATAAAATGTTATATTAAAAACTTGAATTTAATCTTCTTATTTATTATTTATATTTATATCAAATTCCATATTAAAAGAATATATTTTGAATTAAAAAAATTTATTATCTAAATAGTTTAAATTATTATTAATTTATACTAAAAAGAAAATAGAATTTAATTTAAAAGGGATTAAGTTTAGATTAATACAAAGCTTAGGTTTCTAGTAATTGTTTAGATCGACTCGATTATTAATATTAAATAATTAAGGGTGTATATAAGTTATTAATATAGCTATAATAGAATAATTTGGGAAAATTATATTTCTTAAAACAATTTGTTTTTAATATTAAAGAGATTGATTTATATATTTTAGCTTGATATAATTATAGATTTTGTATTTAAAATATAAAGACTTTTTTGAATAATTGTATTGTTTTGTTTTGTTAATAATATTATTTCAAGAATTCTTTAGATTTAGTTCAGCTTCTTTTACTTATATATTTATCAATACAAAAACTTGAATATAAACAGATTAAGGTAATAGATTTAATAATTTCAAACTCGAATTATTATTTTCTCTATTATTAAAATTATAATTGTTATTAAAGGTATTCCCAATCTATTAATTAAAGGATTGAAATTGAAATATTTATTTTAAAAAAGATTCAATTTTTTCTTTAAATAAATCCTTGAAGTTTTGTTTTTTTAAAATATTAGTAATGTGATTAACAACATTATTTTGAACAAATATCTTTTCTATTTCTATATTTTTTTGAATATTATATATTATAAAATAGCTTTTATTTAAGAATCTATAAATAGCGTTTAATTTGATAAATTCTAAATAAAGATTAAAATCAATAAAATTAGTAATGAATATTTTAATCAAAGTTTTTCAAATATTAATTCAAAAAATCTCAATATTATATTTAAAAAAAGATGTATCTTTATAATTCATTTTTAACTATAGATTTTTAATATATTAATAATATTTTTAAATAGATTTACTTTTCTTTTAAACTAAAGAACTTATAGTATTAAAAACTATTTATATCAAATCTTTATTTTTTTTATTTGAAAAATAATCAATAAAAATAATGATAATTTATTTTACAAAATCTTATTTATTAAATCAA